CATCAGACTTGTCTATATGTTCATTTTGCAAAGTTCAAACGATGATTTTTGTGGTGAGGACGTATGGGGGGTTTTCGGGTCTGGGATTTTCTTATCTGATGACTCTTCCATGAAGACCATATTTGTGTACAAGATCTCTTTATAGTGGAATAGTGTACCACAACTCCAGTGTCTGTCAGATCTTTCGCTCGCTGGAGGGGATCGTGCAGTCAAACGTGGGTTTTTAAATTGTTTTTCTCACAATCCTGCGCGAGCTGTTCTGTCTGATATTTTTTGGTCTTCCAGATCTTGCTTTTAACTTCCACTGTTCCTGATGACTGCCATTTCTAAATTACATTCCGAACAGAGGATATTGACATCTGAAAATGCTTTGCTATCTTCTTATAGCCTTCTCCAGCTTTGTGAGCGTCAACTATTTTCAGTTTCAGTTTTCTAGACAAACTGCTTAGAAGAACCCATGGTGCTGATTGTTGGGGCAAGGTCAGATGAGTTCTGGGCATTTAAAACCTTTGAGATTGACAATCACCTGGTCTTCATCCCAGACGATGATTGAGAACAATCCATGACACTGGCAGGTCTCCAGCTTTGCAAAGGGCGCGCAGTGCATGCTATAAATTCTGCAGGGTGCCCAAACTTTTGCAGACGCCATTTTTTTCGTTTTCTTTTATTTGAAAGTGTAAATGATGGAAATAAAATCTAACTTTTGTTGACATATTATAAGAATTGTTCTAATCTGTAATTTGATGCCTTTGGGAGATTTTTCCATCTTTCCTTGGCTTCTTTATGCACATTAATACAAATTTTTAGCTGGGGTGCCCAAACTTTCGATCCCCACTGTGTATATGTATGTATTGTATGTATATATATATGTGTGTGTGGTGTGTGTGGTGTGTGTGTGTGTATGTATATATATAGTGTGTGTGTGTATGTATATGTGTGTGTGTATATATATATATATATATATATATTATTTCAGGTACTTATATAGCGCCGTCAATTTACGCAGCGCTTTACATATATATTGTACATTCACATCAGTCCCTAAGGGTGTACAATCTAAGGTGACTAGAAGTTCTTCCCGACGCTGTTTTCCTACAGACAGGCTGAAAAAGAGTTGGGTCACATGACAGCTGTATATTGATTAGGAAAAAAGGTACTTAGATGGAATTGCACTGTTTCTGAGCCCCACAAACCAAAAATGCTGTTTAATTCATTGTTAATATTCAAAGCAAACTCAGCCATCCATCCATGTCTCTATACTTTATTTTGCTGAAAAATTATTTTGAAAAACACGCCCTAGCATGTCTGGCAGTGGCCATCTTGAGTAAGGGCAGATTCATGTAGCATTTACTTCCTGGAATTCATCTGCACTTTGCTCAGGCATTGGCTGAGCAGAGAACCCTCCCTCCTCTGAAGGGTCTTGGGATGTATGACATCATTTGCCTAGGTAAAAACGTGTACATCTCCCCCTCGTTGCTATCATCTCCCTACTACTGCTCTCATCACTTCCTGCTGACCCAAACACCAGGACTTCTGACCACTACCAGATCTGCTTCACTGCTCCTCACTGTGTATCACACAACCGTGCCCCTGCCATCGCACAGCCCCGAGCCCCGTCCAATCCGGCAGAGGCGAGCCTGCCGCGCAGCCTCCTGCACCCACTGACGCCAGGCCCCTTAGCACCCTCAGTTGCTGGCCCGCAGCATCCACATGCACTGGCCCACAACACCCACTGACGCCGGGGCCCTACTGCGCCTACCAACACCTAGCCCACTCCACCTCCAGACGCTGGGCCTTCAGCACCTCCACTCATACCAACCACCAGCTCAACTTGACCTAAAGCCTTGAACCCTTGTTGAAAGCCACCACACCGAGATACCCCCCCTGAACCCCAGACTTTCACCACTCAAGCGCCCCTGGAAACCATCCATCCACACCTGATCCCCTCCCCCTTCTCCCCTAAACTCCAGCCACCAAAAGACATATCGACGAGATACGCCTCTGCCAGCTGGACTATCGACAACCAAGCCTCCCACCACTCCTATGCGCCCTCCCGGGCACCTCCCCAAAATGCCTCTTCCACTCCTCCTTCTCATTTTCCTCTCCTCCATTCCCAAAATCCATTCACTATGTCCCTCTGCTCCTCCCAAACAATTGTATATTGTGTTCTCACTGCTTCCTTCACCCCTCTACGGCACCCACCACCTCCTCCTAATACTCCACTCTCGCACTGACTCGAACACCTCCACTAGTAGTTTCTCACGCTCCTGCACATCCCGCTCCCATGCCACCTTTCTCACCCTTCTCCTCCTCCTAACCGCTGGGGACATCTCCCCGAATCCTGGCCCTCCACCACCTCCCTCACCCACACAACACCCTCCCGCCTCCACGTCCTGCCTCAACCCCCGCAACTTATCTGTCCCCCTGCTCCCTAAAATCTCCCCCCCCGTTTTCATGTGCACTCCTGAACGCCCAATCGGTGTGCAACAAGCTTACTGCCATCCACGACCTCTTTGTTTCCCGCTCCCTCAACCTCCTAGCGATTACAAAATCCTGGATCCAGGCCACTGACTCTACCTCCCCTGCTGCACTCTCCTACGGAGGTCTCACCTGGACCCATTCACCCAGGCCTAACGGTGGTAAAGGTGGTGGGGTAGGTCTGCTCCTGTCACCGCAGAGCACCTTCCGAGTTCTCCCAAACCCCCCCTCCCTATCCTTCTCCTCCTTCGAGGCCCACTGCGTCCGACTATTCTCCCGAACCCCCCTGAAGATTGCTGTGATATATCGGCCTCCTGGATCCATATCCCGCTTCCTGGATGACTTTTCCTCCTGGCTACCCTTCTTCCTCTCTTCTGAGCTACCCACCATCATCCTTGGGGATTTCAACATCCCTGTCAACCTCGACAACCCGGCCACATCTCATCTCCTCCACTTAAGCTCCTCCTTTGCACTTGCACAGTGCGTACAATCCACCACCCACTCCGACGGTAATATCCTTGATCTCATCTTCTCCAACCGCTGCGCTCCCCACAAACTCACTAACACCCCCTTCCCTCTCTCTGACCACAACCTTATTACCTTCTCTATCTCCTCGTCCTCCAATGCCTACCCCTCCAAATGTCACACTTCTACCAGCCGTAACTTCCGCAACCTTAACCCTGCCCCCCTCCACTCTGCAGCCGATCAACTCCACAACAGCATCCTCCCCCTGTCTTGCCCTGACTTGGCTATGACTGCCTAAAACAACGCGCTGTCAACAGCCCTTGACTCACTAGCGCCTTTAACCACACGCAACATCAGACCCCCCGACCGCTCCAGCCCTGGCAGACTGATCACACCAAAACCCTCAAACGACCCTCAAACGAACAGTCGTGCCCTGGAGCGACTATGGCGCAAAATCAAATCCCAACAAGCCTTCACCCACTATAAATCTGCCTTCCACACCTACACCACCTCCCTCCACGCAGCCAAACAAGCCTACTTCCTGACCCTCATCAAGGCCCTCTCCTCCAATCCTCGCCGACTCTTCTCCACCTTCAACTCTCGCCACCCCCACCTCCACCCAGCACCTCACTCACCGCCCTTGAGATTGCCAATCACTTCAAAAACAAGATTGACACAATTCGCAAGGACATCGCCGCAAATCGCACGCCCTCTCAACCCGTTCCCTCTCACACAGCTATCCCCCCTCCCCCTCGACATAACCCGCAGGGACTTCGTCGCTGCTCAAACTCCCTCCAACCCCGTTCCCCCTCACTCAGCTACCCCCTCATCACCCCTCTCCCACAGCCCCACCACTGCTCTGACCTCCTGTCAGGGCTCTGGGTATGACCAGAGGTATGTGAACTGACGCAGGGAAACGCAGCTTCAGATATGTTATAAACAATATAATTTATTAATACTAACAATACATAAACGCAGTGCAATACGAAAGCATAACACAGTGCAAACGAACCAAACCAAACCACCCACAGATAACAATACATACAATGCAAGCGAGTCAGGCAGGCCGGGTCAATAACAATCGGGCAGGTAGGAACAGGAGGAGCAGGCAGAGAGTAGTCAGGTCACGAGAGCCGGGTACAGCAACTAACGGGCAGGTAGGTACAGGGGGTCAGGCAGAGAATGGTCGGGGGTCAGAAGCCAGGGATCAAACAGGAGAAGTCAGCAGAGGTCCGGATCAGGCAGGGTCGGCAACAAATCAGTCAGACAGGAACAGGAATGCAGTTAACAAGATATAGGGGCCCATGGAAAAACACACACCAAGGCACAGACTGCAGGTCTGGCCATCCCTTTAAATACACCTCCGTAATCAGCTTCAGGTGTTTGGCTGACTGCAGGGTTGAGTCTCTGATTGCTGAGAGCACTCGCTGGCCAGCCCTGGTACTGCAGCCCACAAGGCAGGTGAGTCCCACCATTATTGGCAAGTCCATTCCTGACAGTACCCCCCCCCCCCCAGGAGCGCCTCAGGACGCTCCAAACAGTCCTAGCTGGGCAAAATGTTCCACCGCCCGGGTCTGGTAACTGGCGGGATATCAAAGACTGGCACATCGGGCTGGACGCCGGGCAGAGGCACCTCGGGCTGGACGCCGGGCAGAGGCACCTCGGGCTGGACGCCGGGCAGAGGCACCTCGGGCTGGACGCCGGGCAGAGGCACAGGGCTGGACCCCAGAGGCACCTCGGGCTGGACGCGGGCGGGCACAGGGCCCCCAGGAGGGCGGCGGGCACAGGGCCCCCAGGCGGGCGGCGGGCACAGGGCCCCCAGGCGGGGCGGCGGGCACTGGGCCCCAGGCGGAGCGGCGGGCACTGGGCCCCCAGGCGGAGCGGCGGGCACAGGGCCCCCAGGCGGAGCGGCGGGCACAGGGCCCTCAGGCGGAGCGGCGGGCCCCAGGCGGAGCGGTGGGCACCGGGCCCCCAGGCGGAGCGGCGGGCACCGGGCCCCCAGGCGGGGCGGCGGGCCCTCAGGCGGAGCGGCGGGCACTGGGCCCTCAGGCGGAGCGGCGGGCCCCCAGGCGGAGCGGCGGGCCCCCAGGCGGAGCGGCGGGCCCTCAGGTGGAGCGGCGGGGTACCGGGCCCTCAGGCGGAGCGGCAGGGCCCTCAGGCGGAACGGCGGGCCCTCAGGCGGAGCGGCGGGCACCGGGCCCCCAGGAGAGGCGGTGGGCACCGGGCCCGCAGGCGGAGCGGCGGGCACCGGGTCATCAGGCACGACAGTGGGTTCCGAGTCAACTGACATGACCGCGGGCACTGGGTCAGACATTGGATCGTCTGGCTCGACAGCGGGCATCGGGTCACCAGGCATCAGGTCATTTGGCTCGACAGCGGGCACCACGTCATCTGGCAAGGCAGTGGGCACCGAGTCACCAGGCATGGCAGTGGGCTCTGAGTCAATTGGCACAACAGCGGGCACCGGGTCATCAGGTACCGGATCGCCTGGCTCGACAGCAGGAACCGGGTCATCTGGCGCTAGATCGCCTGGCTCGACAGCAGGAACCGGGTCATCTGGCGCTAGATCGTCTGGCTCGACAGCGGGCATCAGGTCACCAGGCATCAGGTCATTTGGCTCGACAGCGGGCATCGGGTCACCAGGCATGACAGGTCATCAGGCATTGGATCGACAGCGGGCATCGGGGATCACCACAGGGGCATGGGTCACCAGCATGGCACTGGGTCATCAGGCATTGGATCGTCTGGCTCGACAGCGGGCACCGGGTCATCAGGCATTGGATCATCTGGCTCGACAGCGGGCATCGGGTCACCAGGCATGACAGCGGGCATTGGGTCATCGGGCATTGGATCGTCTGGCTCGACAGCGGGCATCGGGTCACCAGGCATCAGGTCATTTGGCTCGACAGCGGGCACCGCGTCATCTGGCAAGGCAGTGGGCACCGAGTCACCAGGCACGACAGTGGGCTCTGAGTCAATTGGCACGACAGCAGGCACCGGGTCATCAGGTACCAGATCGTCTGGCTCGACAGCGGGCATCGGGTCACCAGGTATGACAGCAGGCACCGGGTCATTAGGTACCGGATCGTCTGGCTCGACAGCAGGCACTGGGTCATCTGGCGCTGGATCGTCTGGCTCGACAGCGGGCATCGGGGCACCAGGCATGACAGCGGGCACTGGGTCATCAGGCATTGGATCGTCTGGCTCGACAGCGGGCATCGGGTTACCAGGCATGAAAGCGGGCACTGGGTCATCAGGCATTGGATCGTCTGGCTCGACAGCGGGCATCAGGTCACCAGGCATGACAGCGGGCACTGGGTCATCAGGCATTGGATCGTCTGGCTCGACTGCGGGCACCAAGTCGTCTGGCAAGACAGTGGGCTCCGAGTCACCTGGCATAATAGGATCATCAGGCTGAATCAGTTCATGAGGCTGGGTAGAGGCATCAGGCTGGGTAAAGACATCAGGCTGAATTGTGGGCGCCGAGGCACCAGGCTGATCCACGGAAGGCAGGTTCTCAGACGGCAGGCTCACCGGTTTGGATACTGGCAGGATGGTACTGGTTGGAAAGAATTTTCGCTTTTTTTCTGGTTTTAACTACTGGAGCACTGCAAGTAAACGCAGGTCTGCAAACGAATGGAGCAGCTGAGGACAGAGGAGAGCTGGAGGATGGAACAGAGGAGGGAGCAGTTGCTACAGAGGACTTCTTTACAGGGTTAAAGAAAGGATAGGTGCAGCGAGTGGGAGCAGAGGACTGGTATGTGGTAGTTAGCAGAGTATACTGGGCCGTCACTGGGGGTGCTGTCGGGGATGCAGGAAGAGTACCTTGAGTGGAGGAATGACGTTGTAAGCTGACTGAGGCTGGGTGCAACAAGTCTGACCATGTCTGCAGTATGGGTTGAACAAAGCTCAGCTTACACAAAGCCTGTCTGGTCAAAGACTGCACTGCGTTTATACAATCCCTTAATACCTGTGGTGAACATGCAGCATAATGCTCCAAGAAGCAATCCACATCATCCTCTAATAACCATACCAGGGACTCTACCTGGTCTGCACTAAATGGTGGCAAAAAGTCATTCCTGCTTTCAGGGGTACCAGATGAAGCCAACTCTACACAAACCTGAATCAAAGGTTGCACCTCAGAGAACTCTGTGCCCTGATCTACTAGAACATGAGCGATCCGTATACATTCTAGCAGTTGATCCCGGGTATACTCCCTCAGAGTCTGATAAGCATATTCTCTGTCATCAAAAACCAGCAGCGACAAATACACAACCTCATCAAGATCCATCCTTCCCAGCAACAAGCCAAGATGGCTTCCCTGTGCAGCCACTTCTGGTCAGGATTGGCCTTGGTGTAATGTCAGGGCTCCGGGTATGACCAGAGGTATGTGAACTGACGCAGGGAAACGCAGGCTTCAGATATGTTATAAACAATATAATTTATTAATACTAACAATACATAAACGCAGTGCAATACGAAAGCATAACACAGTGCAAACGAAACCAAACCAAACCACAACAGTGCAAACAACCAACACCCACAGATAACAATACATACAATGCAAGCGAGTCAGGCAGCCCGGGTCAATAACAATCGGGCAGGTAGGAACAGGAGGAGCAGGCAGAGAGTAGTCAGGTCACGAGCCGGGTACAGCGACTAACGGGCAGGTAGGTACAGGGGGTCAGGCAGAGAATGGTCGGGGGTCAGAAGCCAGGGATCAAACAGGAGAAGTCAGCAGAGGTCCGGATCAGGCAGGGTCGGCAACAAATCAGTCAGACAGAAACAGGAACAGGAATGCAGGTAACAAGATACAGGGGCCCATGGAAAAACACACACCAAGGCACAGACTGCAGGTCTGGCCATCCCTTAAATACACCTCCGTAATCAGCTTCAGGTGTTTGGCTGACTGCAGGGTTGAGTCTCTGATTGCTGAGAGCACCCGCTGGCCAGCCCTGGTACTGCAGCCACAAGGCAGGTGAGTCCCACCATTATTGGCAAGTCCATTCCTGACACCTCCACTTCCACCCCACCCTACATTCCTCATACTGAAGCCCCCCCAACACTCCACACCTTTGACCTTACTACCATCGAGGAAGTCTCCAAGATCCTCTCTGATGCCCGCCTCACCACCTGCCCCCTCGACACTATCCCCTCACAACTCTTACGACCTCCTTCCCCCTCCATCCTACGCTCCCTCACCCACATCTTTTAGTCTCTCCCTCTCCTCCGGCACTTTCCCCTCCCCTCTGAAACATGCACACATCACCCCCATATTTAAAAAGCCCTCCCTGGATCCCACTGACCCGAACCTCAGACCCATCTCCCTGCTCCCATCTACATCTAAACTCCTCGAGTGCCTAGTCTACACCCGCCTAAGCTCTCACCTCAATGACAACAACCTCCTCGATCCCCTACAGTCCGGCTTCCGTCCCCTACACTCCACCGAAACTGCCTTACTTAAACTCTCCAACGACCTGCTAACCACCAAAGCTAATGGCCACTATTCAGTGCTCCTACTCCTTGACCTATCTGCAGCTTTCGACACAGACGACCACCCCCTCCTCCTCAAAAAACTACACTCCCTTGGCCTCAGAGATTCTGCTCTCTCCTGGCTCTCATCCTACCTGTCACAACGCGTTACCTATAATGCTACCACCTCCCCCTCACTCCCCCTCTCTATTGGGGTCCCTCAAGGCTCCGTCCTCGGGCCCCTTCTCTTCTCCATCTACACCTCCTCCCTTGGCCAACTCATACACTCTCACGGCTTCAACTACCACCTATATGCTGACGACACACAAATCTATCTCTCAACCCCCCACCTCACCACCTCAGTCTCTGCCCGAATCACACACCTACTGAGCGACATATCAGACTGGATGTCGCTCCACTTCCTTAAACTGAACCTCTCCAAAACTGAGTTTCTTGTCTCCCCCCCCCCCCCCCCCCAGCCCGCACACCACCCCCCCCCCTTGACTTCTCCATCACATCCAACAACGCCATCATCAAACCCGCCCCGCAGACCAGAGTACTTGGTGTCATTCTGAACTCCAACCTATCCTTCCAGCCCCACGTCCAATCTTTAACAAACTCGTGCAGACTCCACCTCCGCAACATCATCAAAATCCAAACGTTCCTAACCCCAGAAACCACTAAACAGCTCATCCACTCCCTCATCATATCACGACTCGATTACTGCAACTCCCTCCTTACTGGCCTGCCTCGCCGCTGGCTATCCCCGCTTGTCGATCCTGAATACGGCTGCCAGACTCCTTCACCTTTCCAACCACTCTGTTTCCACCACCCCCCTCTGCCAATCCCTCCACTGGCTTCCGATTGCACAACGGATCAAATTCAAAATCCTAACACTGACGTACAAAGCCGTCCACCATACTGCCCCGAACTACATCACTGACCTAATATCCAAGTACCACCCAGCACGCACACTCCGCTCCTCACAAGACCTCCTTCTCTCTAGTTCCCTGGTCTCCTCCTCCTCCCATGCCCACCTCCAGGACTTCTCCAGGGTGTCACCCATCCTCTGGAACTCCCTGCCCCAACCCATCAGATTATCACCTACTCTCCTCTCCTTTAGGCGCACCCTGAAAACCCACCTCTACAGGGAAGCCTACCCCAGCCCCTGCTAACTTGCCAACCTCCTCCACTCTTCCTATCACCCCATCCCCCACAGCCAACTCCTCCTGTGCCACCATCCCCTCCCTCCTAGATTGTAAGCTCGAAAGAGCAGGGCCCTCGATCCCCTCATGTTTTGCATTGTATTGTTGTTGTTCTGTCACATGTTCTGTCCCCCTTTGTAATGTACAGCGCTGAGCAAACTATTAGCGCTTTATAAATACTGTATAATAGGTAGCAAACCACGAAGTAAGTGAGGAAATTAAAAGAAGAAAAAAAGTTTTAAAACAAGTAAATATAATATCCTTTCCTATCTATTTACTAGCAGCATAAGGCTTCATGTACACAAGCATCTCCTAAACTCGAGTTTAGGATCTTTTGGCATTTTTTTGCCAAAGCTCCTAAACTCAATTTCATAAAAGCCTACATGTCCATGTACACATTGACTTTTAGCAGAGTTTAGGAGCTCTCCCATTTAAGTGAGTTTAAACCTCCCTCTCCAGAACACGGATGAATTATGTTCAGGATAGGAACGTTTTGACCGCCGACCGCAGGAAAACACAAAATGTGGCAAAATCACAGTACCGCAGTTGTCGCGTTTTTATGTTTTTCCGTGGCCAGCAGTCAGAGTAGGCTTGTGTGCATTGAGCCTTAGGATTAAAAGTAGTAAATGTTGATTGAGAGAGTGACGTTTCGGCCATTATCCACAAAAAAAAAAAGACGGGACAATACTTTGTTTTGAACTTGCTTGTTTGGGATGCGATTGATAACAACATGCAATCACACCTTCCAGCTATCAGTTGAACTCCGCTGCTTCATTTGACATATCGATTTGATTGGGTTGTTGACTATGGATTGATTGTGATAATTGGAAGAGATCAGTACGATAGGCAACCGATCATTTACTGAAGCACGTATGGCCACCATTAGCAAGGATGGGGGAATTCATGGATTTTCTTCGAGCCATTGATGGTCAGCCTTGGCGGTTGACTTCTGCTTTAACTGGAGTCATGCTTGTCCTTTGCCTCTATACTTTGTACCAGGGGCGGACTGACCATTTGGAAACTCGGGCACTGCCTGAGGGCCCTAGGTCAGTAGGGGGCCCCATGAGATGCTCCTGGTACCTTTTTCATAGGCTCTTTTGAGTTTGGGCAAGGACACAGGGGCCCCCCATGATCCCCTATTGCCCGGGGGCCCCATGAGTTGTCAGTCCGCCCCTGCTTCGTACTGAAGGTGTCTCCCCTCTGAGAAAGTTGTTAGAAATCCCCAGACAATGATAAAGATAAGAGGGAGGAGAAAGGAGGGAAGATCACAGCAGCAGCTACCGTGCTAGGTGTTATTTTTTGGATGTTAGGAATTCCTCCCCAAAATACACACCCTGCTTCAGCAGCTTCTATCCTGCCCACACACACAGAACCCCCTCCCAGGTCTGCCTGACTCCCATGGACTGTGTAGCAAGCAGGGCTGGTCAGCAGCCAGGAGAGGTCTAGCACGACTTCCTCCTCCTAGGCTGGAGGCTTTGTTGTGTGCGATCAGGAGACCTGAGAGAACAAGAACAACGTCTGATCAGTGCGGTGTGCATGTGGAATGTCCTGATCACATACTCATTCATCTACAGCCACTCCCGCCACTCTGGAGGACTGCGAGAACCTCACCATCCATGGTACGTGACACTTGTGTCCACCACTCTTCTCTGCACATCGCACACTCTGTCTGATCGGGGATGGGAGCACTGATATGGCATTTGATGCACTGTGGAAGTTAGCACTGATCGGGGATTTTTTTTTAGCAGTGAGGTTGGTAGCACTGATTGTGGATTTTAGCACTGTTCTGAGATTTTAGCACTGAGGAGGTTAGCACGGATCAGAGATTTTAGCACGGATCAGAGATTTTAGCACTGGGGAAGTTAGCACTGATTGTAGATTTTAGCACTGATCAGAGATTTTAGCACGGGGAAGTTAGCACTGATCAGAGATTTTAGCCAGGGGGGAAGTTGGCACTGATCAGAAATTTTAGCACTGGGGAAGTTAGCACTGCTCTGAGATTTTAGCACTGAGGAGGTTAGCACGGATCAGAGATTTTAGCACTGAGTAAATTAGCACTGTTAAAAGATTTTAG